CTGACGGACTAGATTGTACCGTATATATGAGATCGGGCTCAGTGTATCTGGAGCCAAGATCACGGAAAAGAGGGAGAGAGAGGAGAAGGTAGTAGCAAGTCACTAAGGCAATACAGAGATTTCTGGGAAAAGAGGATGGGTCAAGAAGCCATGGTGGGTGGGAGTGATGATAGAGGAGGCAGAAGAAATGGTCTGGGGACAGTGAGATGGCATCAGCAGTACTGGAAAGGGATAAAGTGCAGAGGAGAGAATAGGGGGAGCAGCAATCTGGGGATCCAGAAGAAGACAAAAGGAGGACTAGGAAGCCTGGCTGGAGAAAGGTTAGTAACCACAGCTCTCAATGCCAAAAGCCCTGCTTCTGTAGATACAGAACTGCACCGGCCACAGCAGCTTCAGGGCTATTTCCCAATTAAATTGGAACAGGATCCGGAAATTAGGTATTCTTCTGGCGTAATCTCAAACCTGAAGAATTCCTGGAGAATGCCTAGTAAACGCTGACTGGCTTTGCTCTGCACAGATCCTGTCTTGGGTGTTTTTATGGCAAACGATGCTATCTCAAATGTTTGCCTAGGAAGTGTCAGCCTAGGAGGTTCGGCTGTCGCTTTACCTTCAGACCGTTCAAACTCATCTCTCGCTTCCCATAGAACTATCCTAGTCACCCAGCTACATAGTATTCGGGGGAGGAACAGAGGTTGCTCTCTGCAGCTCAGAGAAAGCTGGGATTTTAGATCTTGCATCTTTTTTATTAGAAAGTTAATTCTCATAGTTATCTTACTAGTTCTCAACTGCTTCCTACTTGGCCTGTAGAGTTTCTGGGATCATCATTTTTGGAGTTCCATATTCCTACCCCTATGGCAGCAGATCTGGCTTAAGAGGTTACTACTTGTCTCCCTCAGCCTAAAGTTTTTGTCCCACTAAACTCTAACCCAAATCTGAAATTATCTGGGTGAAACAGATATAGTCCCTCCCCTAAAGTGTTTGTTTATTTTAATCTGGATCACTACTCAGACCTGGCAGCACCACAAAAGCCACTGGACTGGCACAGCTGAGGCAGCAGTGACATCTGGGTTGGGATGTCAGTCTGTTGCTGAGTGACAGACAAATCCCAAAGTTTTGATTACTCGACGTTTATCTCAGTGTTTTTGCATTCATTCTGGTAGTTAGGCTTTGAGAAGTTAAGCGTGGTCCGGCTCCGAAATCTTTCACTGGCTCTAGCTGTAAGTGTCTTGCCACTAATAGGGCATGGATAATCATATGGAAAAGTTGTATAAGTGAGTCATGAAGCATATCTCTTGTGGGATTACTGCTTGATTGTAAAGAAGAATAACACTGACTGTACAGGCTACGGTCTGTGTTTGTGGAGGACTTGGTACAATAAGCCATGATCTTGTCTGAGGTTTCATATTGCTACTCTTGTGCAAATAAAAAATCGTAGTATCATGTTTGTCACAATAGTAAGTCAACAATAATGACGATAAAAGCAACTCAACCTATGCTTTGGTTAAACCCTGTTCTTTCACGCCCTAGTGCACGTTTATTCCCCATTCATTTTGTCTATTTGTTGCCTCAAGTTCAAAATGTAAAATACCAGCTTTCTAAAACAGGGACTTTTTGCCTTTATGTACAATGCCTAGCACAGGGGGGCTCTGAATTTTAACTGTCAAGCTTCCGAGGCCTACTGAAATTCAAACAAATAATGGATAGCTTTCCATGATTTTACGTTTTCTTTCTGACCGCTCAGTTCTACCAATTCCTTGTCAAATGCAGGCCACATGTAGAGAAAAAAAGACCCAAAATGAAAAACTCGTGACGAAAGTGCAAAATAAGTGAATAAGATCCTCTTTGACCGCAGTTCCTTAGTTCAGTGTGTCTATTCTCCGCCACTTGAAGGAATAAATTAACAAGCACATTCTGTGAGAAGAAACTTGAATTTTGGCCCGTTAACAGGAAGAAAAGGAGTCAGCTTGCCAGGAAAGAGTTTTATAAACATGAGCTTGGTCTAGTGGACTAAGTTCTGGCAATATTTCCGGAGGGGCTGCAGAACGGACTCACCATACATAGGGCTGTACTGACACTGACAGCCGGGTATGCAGTGGTGTTGACACTGGAATAAAAGACAGAAGAGGTTAGAAATAAACACGAAATACTATCTTGCTTTATTAAGTAGCAACCAGAAATGTCAGTATCACATGTTAATTAGTGACTAATGAGGCAGGAAGGAGATGCGTGCTTGACATATTTTTAAACCGGTGTAACAAGTTTTTACAGTGCAAAGCAGGGAAGTTCTCTATAATACACAGTAATAGGCTGTGCACTTGGAACTGAACACCATAAACTTCCCCACCTTCAGGACAGAATGTGTCAACACACAGTCACTCTCCCTGAATAAAGTTAGCACCGGTATTAGCAGTTGATAATGTGAAGAATGAGGAAAGGAGGAAAACATACAAATGATCAAAAGGAGAAAAAACTCTTTCAGGCACACCTGTGGTAGAAAAATGTTGACAGAGCACGTTTTTTATGTGAGACTAAACCTGATATGGCACGGTGCTAAGAAATACCGAAAATCAAGAAATACCGAAAATGATGCTGTGGAACTGATGAAGGATTGAAACTGCACAGTCTTCCCCGGGGTGATCTCCCACCCAGCAAGGGGAGCTTTAGCTCGGGCAAGGTGGGTTAACGTATACTGACACATATGCTATAAGAATACACTGAAGTTATCTAACGTCCCACATTGATGTACCCCAGAGCACTTCGCATCTACCTATTGATGTTCCTGCCCAGGAAATCAGCAAAGCACATGCTTGACTTTAAGTATATTCTTCAATCAAATGTGCGTTTCCTGAATGAAGATGCTTTCCTTAACCAGGGTCTTTGTGCTATACATCGCAGACATCGCTCCCACTTCGCCCCTTGACAAAATGAGGCACTTTCTTCTCCTGTACCGTTGTTGTTCAACATATGTTATACGGGATAGTCGTAGCCTGTAATCTTATACCGAGCTGCTAGCAGAGTGAAAAATTAGACGGAGGTGGGATTGATCTAAGCTCACATTAGCTAGCTATAAACTAGGCCTTCCTCAGGACGTGACTTGGCCCAACCTGTCTCAGACCTGTGGAGATACCCTCACTCTCCTGGTTGTGCAACAGGTCTGCACAAGCAGTTTAGATCCCACAACAATTTTGAAATAACTAAAATTACCTAAGGTAAACCTCTCTTTGGGAACCCAACCATTCGGTGTCCTCACGGACACCGCTGCTCTGGGAAACGCCGAACACAGAGCTGCAGGCTGGGGGACGGTCTCACGATTTCCCAGCCCGCGCCGACCTCCTTGCATAGCCTTCCCCCGTCTCTCTTCTCCACGCGCCATCTATTCCGCGCGGGGTTCGCGCCTTCGCGAAACACCTCCTCCTTCCACACTTGGAGGCCTCCTTCGGCTCCAGAAGTAAGGGTGGCAGGACGGAGGGTCTCCACCGGGGTTGGGTAAAGCCCAGTTCTGGTAAGGGCTTGCAGCTGTCACAGTGGCGGGGGCAATGAAGTCCAACCGTTCATTTGACGGCTCGGCGAGGGCGAGAGGAAGGAAGGAGGGCGAGGCGGAGGGAAGAGAGCGGCACGTCTCCTGCGAGCTTGTGTGCAGCTCAAGGGGGCAGCTGGCTCGGGGGCCTCCTGGGCAGGGCGGCTCCGCTCTGGGGGCGGTCAGTGAGGGGGAGATGGCGGCACCGCGCAGTT